CAATACTTGGGAGCTCCACTTATTATTTTACTGCTCATGTTATTCTAAAAGTACTTCTTTCATTCAAACTTGTCTTAGAGATCTTTCAAGCTCTGATTGTCATTTTAACAGCTGTATAGGATTCCATAATTTGGAATATTGCCTCCTCCCAAATCTATATCTTTTGTCTCTGAACCTGTTTTTTTGTTGTTGTTGTTGACTCTCATCTCCTCTTTTATTTTTTTTAGTTGGAGTCTCACTCTGTCACCCAGGCTGAAGTGCAGTGGCATGCTCACAACCACCACAGCCTCAACCTGCTGGGTTCAGGTGTTACTTCTGCCTCAGCCTTCCAAGTAACTGGAACTATAGGCACACGCCACCATGCCCAGCTAATTTTTTGATTTATTGTAGAGATGAGGTCTCACCAAGTTGCCCAGGTTTGTCTTGAACCCCTGAGCTCAGGCAATTCTCTTGCCTCAGCCTCCCAAAGTGCTGGGATTACAGGCTTGAGTCATTGTGCCTGGCCTCATCTCCTCTTTAATGCCTTTCTCCATTCAGTTATTAAGTTCTACTCTAATTTTAGTTCCTAAATCTCTTCTTTTTTTTAGTTTAGAAAATATAGTTTATTTACAAAGTAAATGAGAAAGAAAGAGAGAGAGAGAAAGAAAGAAAGAGAAGATTCACTTCCCCAAGGTAGGAAGGAGGCCAAAGCCAGGGAACGTGGTGACAGCCATGCCTCAAAGAGCACATGGCCACACCAGAGTCCTAGTAAGGCAATGGCGAATGACTGCTTGTGGTTGAGTCCTTCCCTTTGATGGGAGAAGGTTGTTAAGGTGATTGGGTGGTGGTCTGCTCCATGTCATCACGACCTAAATCTGTTCTTAATCACTCTTAATCTACTCTTGACCTGCAGGGCCCTGACCTAGTTCATAGGCTCTTCCTCTTTCACTCAGACCACTACAGGTGAATGGATTCTTGTTGTTCATGAAACTGCCTGCTGCCAGGCTTACATTCTGCAAATCTACCTGCTACCCAGCCATCAAATCTGCAAATCTGACTATGTAATGCCTCCTCATGGTACGTGGTGCCCCATGGCACTCATAACGGCTGATGCCAACTATAGTAAGATTCACTGATGACTGCAACTTAAGCAGAGTGTAGCCGAGGGTCAAGGATCTCCCCAGCCCCACGGTTATTTCGTAGAGTTATTTCACTGCATAGAGCCCTGCAGTTGAGAATCTAGCACCCTACAATTAGACACAGACCCCAGAGGGGTAGGGAATACCTAGTTCTCAGTAAGAATTATCCAAGAACTGAATGCAGGGAGCCACCTTCAAGGTCTCCAGAGCTCAGCTCCAGTTTTTGTATCTATGCCGCTGACAACAGCCTGCCCCTGTTATTCCTCCCAAAGGCGTGTATGGGGGAAGAGCATCACGGCCATCCAGCTGAGATGACAGTTTGTCCTTCCCTAGTTACTCATTTTGTGACCGATCCTTGACACTCACTTTAAACCTCTGACACCCCATGTCACTTGGTTGTCCAAGCCGATTCTACTCACACTCACGCTTTCCTCTGGCTATGGCTGGCCTGGCCTGCCCATGCATGGGGACAGCCTTTTCCGGACTCTTCTGTCTTGACTCACTGTGTTAACATATGTCTGAGCCGGGCTCGGTGGCTCAGCCTGTAATCCCGTGCTTTGGGAGGCTGAGGTGAGTGGATTGCCTGAGCCCGCGGGTTCGAGACCCACCTGGGCAACTTGGCGAGACCTCATCCCTACAATAAATCAAAAAATCAGCCGGGCATGGTAGCGTATGCCTGTAATTCCGGCTACTCGGAAGGTTGAGGCGGAAGGATCGCCAGAGCCCAGCAGGTCGAGGCCGCGGTGGCTGGGAGCGGCCACTGCACTCCAGTCTGGGTGACAGAGTGAGACTCCAACTCAAAACAAACAAACAAAAAAAACATGATATGTCTGTGTGTTTGATCACCCCAAATAGGGAGAAAAGAGTCTATGACATTCACCTGTGTTCCCAGTGCCTGGTACCAGACCTGGCCTGTTAAATAACTGAATCCATGTTTGAGTTGTCCATAGAGGAAAAGGCAAGTCGCCTATAATCACACTATCCCCATAACCACTGTCATAAATTTGGGTTATACCTTTCCAGACATTTTTCCTCCCTAGTTTTATGTCTCTATATTTTCCACAGACATAGTCTATACACGAACTTTTATTTTATAAAATTTGGATAAAACCTTCTTATAGTTCATATATCATGAACATTTCCCCTTCTCATTAAATGTTCTTGGAACTCTTGAAATATAGAGTTGCTCAGTATTTCATGGGAGAGAGGGTGCTTTTCCTGCAGCTTATTTTTTAGCTGGGATTATTATGATTATGATTATTACTTTGAGTCAGAGTCCCTATCACCCAGGCCACCGCAGCCTCGACCTGCTGGGCTCAGGTGATTATTCTGCCTCAGCCTTCCAAGTAGCTGGAACCACAGGTGTGGACCACCACACCCAGCTAATTTTTAATTTATTTATTGTAGAGATGAGGTCTCGCCATGTTGCTCAGGCTGATCTTGAACCACTGAGCTCAGGCAATCCTCTTGTCTCTGCCTCCTAAAGTACTGGGCTTGCAGGTGTGAGCCACCATGCCCAGCAATTTTAATGTCAGTACAATTCAGAACAATTCAGCAAACCACATTGCTGGTTCTGCTTCCATTTCTTTTTCTTCCTCTTCCTCTGTAGATAACTTCATCAAGCATCACTTCCTCATCAAGCAGGTCCTCAAATCCTTCTCTACCAACATGTTTTGCTGCATGAATGATTTTTCTAACATCTCCATCAATCATGGGAAGATTTTGTGTGTGTGTATGAGTTGGGCTCTCTGTCACTCAGACTAGAGTGTAGTGGCATGATCACAGCTCACTGCAGGCTTGACCTCTTGGGCTTAGGTGATCCTTCCACCTCAGCCTCCCGAGTAGCTGGGACTACAGGCAGGCATCACCATCCCTTGCTAATTTTTTTGATTTCTTGTAGAGAAGAGGACTTGCTATGCTGTCCAGGCTGGTCTTGAACCCCTGACCTCAAGTGATTCTCCTGCCTTGGCCTCCCAAAGTACTAGTATTATTATAGGCGCGAGCCACTGTGCCTGGCCTCTGGGAGGCTTTTAAAGTCATTTATGACTTCACCACATATGTTCTTTCAGCAGGCATTTATGGTTTCTGGTTTTAATTCATCCATTACAGTTTGCAGCAATAGTGAATGATTTCTAGCACTGCATTATGTCAGATTAACCTCTGCATCAATTGCTGATCAAATGCGATAAAATACCAGGTGGGTGGGTGTGGTCTTGATAAGCCAAATGATGGTCAAGGGGCTGAAGCAATGAGATTGTATTTGGAGGTAAGACTACAACCTCGACATTTTCATCTCCACAGCAAACAGATTCAGGTACACTGTCTATGACTGATAGGTCTTTAAATTCCAACCCTTCCTCTCCCAAGTGTGTTTTCAGTTCTGGGATGCAGTGTTGGTGGAATCATTCCATAAATAAGATGGTTGTCCCCACACTTTCTGATGATGTTGCCCGAATATGGCCATATTGTTTTTGTTTTTGAGAGCACGTGGGTTCTTCACTCTGTGTGCTACACTGGCTTTATCATGTGGCCTGCAGTGTTACCACACAGTACCAGAGACCATCTGTCTTTCATGTCTTGTGCCCTCGTGCCTCCTTTGGCTCATACCTTGTGCCTCACTTATATGAGTGCGGGCTCTGTTGTGCTTTTTCCAGAAGAATCTGTTTTCATTGCAATTGAAGACTTACTTTGCATGGTACCTTTTCTCCTTAATTAACGTCTTCTACTCTGCTGAAAATCTGGCCACAGCTTTTTCATTGGCAAATGCAGCCTCTCTAGTAATGTTTATATTTTTCAGTCCAGCCTGTTCCTAAATCTGTGTAACCATCCCTTACTTGCAGTAAATGGCCTTGTGGTACTCACTTCGGAATGTTCCTTGCTGAAGTCTTCATACAGGCTCAAGGCTTTCTGGTTATAACACATTGCCATCAGTGGGAACACTTCTGTTCACATCCTCCATCCTTGGGCATTTTCATCTAACTAAGCATGTATCACGTACTGTGACCATAACTTTTATAGTCTGAGGTGTGATAGCAAAACTAGCATAAAATTCTTTTTCCTTCTTCACAATTTTATGGTTAGAAGATTCATTATTATGATCGATCTTAGCAACCCAGAATACAATTTTTTTTTTCTTTTCTTATTTAGTTGGAACTTTTACCTTTTCACTTAAAGGAAGTACTTTACAGCTTTTCTTTGCCATATCCGAATTGCTAGCATCACGACTCTAGTGTTTTGGGGACTCTAGTAAATAAAATGAGGGTGACTTGAACATAAGCACTACAGTACTGTGACAATTAATCTAATGACCCAGACAGCCACTAAGTGAGTAAGGGGCGGGCTCATCTATAGTATAGACACCTGGACAGAGGGATGATCCATGGAGCAGGACAGCAAGAGCCTTCATCACACTAGTCAGAATGTTGTAAAACATCAACTGTTCATTCTGTTTATTTTTGTTTTTTATTATTATTACTGTTGATATTACTGTTGTTGATCTCTTTTTTAGTCAGAGTCTCACTCTGTCACCAGGCTAGAGTACAGTGGCACAATCATGGCTCACTGCAGCCTCAACTTCTCGTGCTCAGGCAATTCTTCTACCTCAGCCTTCTGAGTAGCTGGCACTACTGGAGCTCATCACCACGCCTGGCTACTTTTTTTTTATTTTCTAGAGATGAGGGCTTGCTATGTTGCCCTGGCTGGTTTCGAACTCCTAGGCTTAAGCAATTCTCTAGCCTCGACCTTCCAAAGTACTGGGATTACAAGTGTGAGTCACCATGCCCAGCCCTGTTGTTAATCTTTAAGAGACTTCAAGCTATGGTTGTAATGAAGGCTCCTACTATGTAGTGCCTTTTGTACTGAATTGTTTTATTTTTTCAAGGCAGGTCTATGGCGGACTGGGAATCCACACCAGGTAGCCTGTCAGAGGACAGCAGTGTTTTGGAACTGCCATCAGTGAGTGACCTGAGAGATTATGTCCTGCAAAGACCCAGCCAGGAGGCCAACAGCGAGGCTTTTAGTTCTGTGGAATTCCATTCTTTTCCTTCCTCTTCTGATGTGGATCCAGGTAATAAGCAGAGTTTAAAACAAACTAACTTTAAAAAACAGAAACCAAAAAAAAAAAAACCCTAGCAGATATACAGGTATGTGATCGTTTGTTTCTCTCTCTTCCAAAAGCAGAGGAGAGTGATTCATTGTCTTAGGTAGAAAAACATCTTACCCAAGCAAAGCTGTGGGGAGAGACTTCAAAGGACAGTCCCTGGCATAGCAGCAAAGAGGAGCTGCTTCCTGGAGTTTTGTTTTTTTCTTCCTTGGGCCCCTTTCTGATCTACAGAAACAGGGGAACACTTGGTTCAACAAGGAAAGAGTGGAATTATTTTTTTGTTTTGTGCTTTAAAAACTCCAGATAATAACAATGTGGGCCTCTTATATGTTATGGGTAATAAAAACAGAGACTTTAGTATTCCTATTATGATGTATGCTCTGGATTTAAGTTACAACTTTTTTGCAAGTTGTCCTGACTAAACTGCCAGAAAGGCTATTTAAGTCTAGTGGTAATTCCCTGATGTGGTTAGTGGCCATCTTTAGTGGTAAAGCCCATTTCTTTCCCGTTAATTACCTGATCTGAGTCTGGAGGCCCACAGACCTAGATTCAAAATTCAGCGGTGCCACTTCCTGACTGTGTGACTTGGGGCATGTTTCTTAACACCCCTGAGCTCTAGTCATCTACAAAATGGTGATCAGAATGCTTGCCTTATGGAGTTAGGTTTAACTCAAGGAACAATGTAAAGTTCTTACGGTGTTTGCCATCTGCGAGGGCTCACTCAATGTTGTTAATATTAAGAAATTCAAATATATATATTTAGAGGTAACTCGGGTTGTATGTGAATGAATTCAGTGATAGCTGTAGGTAGGTTGTGTACCTGTCACTGTCTTCAAGAATTTTGTGAAAAAAAAAAACAAAACAATTTTGAAAGTCTTTTGTGATTCTGTTTTGATTTTTAGCACACAGAACAATCAGAATCAGTAACTCTCCTTTTTGATTTTCTGATCAACAGTTAGCTCATTCCTTACCCTTTTCTAGACTTAACTTCTTAGTTCAGTTAACCTTCCTTCTTTTCCCCTGATCCTGCTGCCTCTGTATTACTTTCTATCTCTAAAACTGATTTTGTTTATCGTCTCTGGTTACCAACAGTATTTCCTAGAAGGAGTGAATGGGTGGAATTGAACAGAATTGTAGATGTGTTGGCCCGCTGAAATACTTCAGGTGCGCTGGGTGCGATGACTCAAGCCTGTAATCCCAGCACGTTGGGAAGCAGAGGTGAGAGGATTGCCTGAGCCCAGGGGTTCAAGACAAGCCTGGCAACTTGGTGAGACCTCGTTTCTACAATAAATCAAAAGATTGGCTGGGCTTGGTAGTGTGTGCCTTGTAGTTCCAGCTACTTGGAAGGTTGTGGTGGATCACCTGAGCCCAGCAGGTTAAGGCCGTGAGCGTGCCATTGCACTCCAGCCTGGATGACAGAGTGAAACTCCAACTCAAAAAAATAAAAAAGAAAAAGAAAGAAATACTTCAGGGCAATGACTCTATTCTTTTCTTTTTTCTGAGTCGGAGTCTCACTCTGATGCCCAGGCTGGAGTGCAGTGGCATACTCATGGCCACCACAAACTCAACCTGCTGGGCTCAGGTAATCCTTTTGCCTCGGCCTTTCAAGTAGCTGGAACTACAGATGCGTGCCATTATACCTGGCTAATTTTTGTGATTTATTGTAGAGACGAGGTCTCACCAAGTTGCCCAGGCTGGTCTTGAATCCCCAGGCTCAGGCAATCCTCTTGCCTTGGCCTCCCAAATTCCTGGGATTACAGGCTGAGTCACCGTGCCCAGCCTATGGCTCTATTCTTCAGGGAACTCAGTGTGGACTTGGTTTTTACTTTGTATTGCCTGTTGGTTGAATAATCCACAGAAAAGCAACCATTACTAATTGGAATTTGTTTGACAGTTCTAAAAATAAGAAGCATGTTGAAATATTTATGTGGGAGTATTTGTTAAAAATCTAGACATTTTAGCTGAGCATGGTGGCTCATGCCTGTAATCCCAGCACTTTGGGAGGCAGAGGCTCGAGGATTGCTTGAGCCCAGGGGTTTGAGACCAGCCTCAGCAACTTGGTGAGACCTTATCTCTACAATAATAATTAAAAAAAAAAATTAATGGGGCATGGTGGTATGTACCTGTGGTACCAGCTACTTGAAAGGCTGAAGTAGAGGCATTGCCTGAGCTTAGCAGCTGGAAACTGCAGTGGCCATGATTATTCCTGGTCAACAGACTGAGACTGGTTTAAAAAAAAATTTAGACATTTTATACCAGAAAGGTTCTTTTAGAACCACCTATAAAAATCTAAGCATGGCAAGCAGTCCTCAAATGTTGACACCCATTTTGCGTGGAATAAGTGTGGTTGTGCTGGTCAGACTGGTTGGAATTCTGGTTCAGTTTTTTTCTCTGTGGTTTGACTCAGGCAAGGCACCTACCTAGCCTCTTAAAATGGACAGAATAACATCTACCTCCCTGTGGGAGAAACCATGAGAATGCACGAGGTTGTACATGAGTCACCATGCTTGGCATGGAGCAGACTCTTGGATATCCAATTCTTCAACAGCTGGGCTGCTCAACATACTGCCATGCTATCTCCTCAGCTCAGACTTTTATAACAAATACCACGGGCCGGCCTGGTGGTTTATGCCTGTGATCCCTCCCTTCCTCTTGGGGAGGCCTAGGTGGAAAGATTGCTTGAGACCAGGAGTTCAAGGTGGCGGTGACTTATGATTGTACCACTGTACTCGAGCCTGGGTGACAGAGCGAGGGCCTGTCAGGGAAGGAAGGAAGGAAGGAAGGAAGGAAGGAAGGAAGGAAGGAAGGAAGGAAGGAAGGGGAGGAGGAAGGAAGAAGGAGGAAAGGAAGGAGGGAGAGGAAGGGAAGGAGGGAGGGAGAGGAGGGACCGAAGGAGGGGAAAAGAAAAAGGAAAAAAAGAAAAGAAAAGAGCAAGCAAGCAGAGGTAAATAGAAGGCCGGGCATGGTGGCTCACACCTGTAATCCCAGCACTTTGGGAGGCTAAGAAAGGGAGGTTGCTTGAGCCCAGAAGAGGTAACCCACCTCCAGCCAGGCTTTTTGAAGGGGCTGTTTCTTCCCACTTCTTCACCTCATGATTGTTCCTCATTCCCGGGCACGGGTCCACCCCCACCCTCCAAGCCTGCCCTTGCTCAGATGCCCATGACCTTCCCTGGGAGCCAAACCTAATGGAGACTTCTCTGTTCTTATCGCATGTACCTAACTGCCACATCACTGTTCATGCCCTGGAGGAAGGTATTAGTGGAAGGGACATGATACTTAAGAGCACTTTCTGAAACACTAATGGGTTGATAAGAATTTGAGAGTATCAGTCAGAAAAACCTCAAAAGCCTTCATCATTTCAGTCTGGATGTGCAAGACAGGTAAGGTGGGACTGTATATGTCCAAGTAAACAGAGGCCGCCTGTCCTGAAGTTACCAGCCAGCTCACCGAAGGCAGGCATGGGTTTCACACGCCTCCTCCCCTCTGCCCTTCTTGGTGAGATGAGGCCAGAAGACCCACTGCTACCAACACATCTTCCTGCAACACCTTTCTGTCTTGTTCCTCTGTTCAAGTCCCTCTGAGATGTCCTCACATACACTCCTGCCAGCTCCTATCAGAGCTCCACTGCCTCATTTTCAGGACTCTGTAATCTGGTGTCCAGGATATTTGTTCAAAATATTGAACAACCAATTCAGCCATATTGCAGTATTTTAACCACTAGCAAGGCCAGGCCTGTGCACACCAACTGAACAGAGGCCCCTGCTGGCGTCTGACTACTGATGAACACAGGCCTGCTACTCCTGTCGGGCTTGTTTCAGGTGAAGCCAATGCTTAGTGCCTTCACTGCCTTGTTTCCTCTCTGAAATGTGCTCCCTTCTCCCTAGTCAAATCCAGTTCACTCCATAGATGGCTGAATTGAATCCATTGATTAGTCCCACGTGCAGACTAGTCATGAACTTGAACTCCTCGCCTGTTGGGTACTTGTTTCCTTTTTCCTTTGCTGCTGGGCTCAGGAGGAGCATGGAGAATACAGAATGGAACAGCTGAACTGAGTGACAAATGATCTTGGTTAAACCTCTCAAAAGCACAGGTTTCCTGGAGGTGCAGTCCCATATATACCATTGTGGCTTGATAAACTCTGGGTGGCTCCTGTGGCATATCTCATCCATGCCCCATGGGACCTTTGCCCTGGAGAGCACCCAAGGCAGGATGCTTTTGTACAGGACAAGGCGTTCCTCTGAAGTCATTTACATGTTACAGTACGAATGTGGGAAATCTCAGCCCTTTCCTCAAACTTGAACTTCTGTCTAAAAGCAGCATCAGGGAAATTGGTTGAATGTTTACAGCAGATTGAATGTTAAGCATAATGCCTTTGAAGATTAAAGGTCCTTCCTAGCAGACGGCTATAAGTTTAAAGTAAATAGTGGTTGAATGCCCCCTTAATCTTATTCTGGGAATTCTTATTCTGGGGACTTGTTAACATCCTAAACTTCAAAGGCCATTTTATGACTTGTGTATTTAGGCATTTCACCCAGGGAATTTAATACGGAAGAATAGATAAATGTTTGGTGTTTTTTTTTCTTTCTGTAATTTATATAATATCTTTGTAATTCTATAAAATTTTATTTCCAAAAGAAATGAGTTATAAACCCTTAGATCCAAAAACTCAAATGAGAATTTATATAATAATTGTAGAATTCTGGATGTGTTGTTGTTTTTAAATAGGAGCCCGGGTATGTTTTAGACATGTAAATCATGTTAAAGACATTTTCTCTTTCTTTTTTTTAACTGTAATCTCACTCTGTCACCCAGGTTGGAGTGAACTGCCATGCTCACAGCCACTGCAGCCTCAACCTGCTGGGCTCAGGCAACCCTTCCGCCTTAGCCTTCCAAGTGGCTGGAACTACAGGCATGCGCCACCATGCTTGGCTAATTTTTTAGTTTATTGTAGAGACGCAGTCTTG